ACAACGACAAAGACACAAACTCTGTCTCTACGAACTTTAGTCATGGAGATAGGCCTGAATCAGACGTAACACAGATATAAGTCGAATATTACAAAATTTAGAACCCTTTCAACTCTAAGTAGCCAAAAACCCAGCTCACACTGGCATAAGCAAAAAAAGGGTGTTTATGGATTCATGTAATATACAAACCAAGGGCTAGTTGAGGTGGGGACTGGTATAGAGGTACCTGGTACCTCGCCTTATTTCAGCCCTGCTCTTATCTGTGTTTGGGTTCATCCTCACACTGAAATCCACTAGTAACAGATGAGTGTTTCTCTTCTTCCAAAAGTACCCTGGGCGTGAAGCTCACCAGGCCACCTTCCCTAAGCGGCTCCAGGTCAGGGCACGTGGGCGCCTGGTGGGCGGGGCCAGCGTCACACGTGAGGACTCGGAGGAGGGGCTGGGCCGGTTCCCGGGACGGCTACGCAGTGAGAGAGGGGAAGCGGGTCAGGCCCCCGCGGCAAGAGGGGGCTCCGTTACCGCAGGGGGTCGGCACCCTGGGGGCCAAAGCCCACTGGCCACGCTGCACGGCCGTTTCCAGTCCAGTCCAGTCTCTATGTGCGGTCCTACTCCTGGGGACAAACACAGCAGCCGAAATCCCAGCAAAAGCGACTTCCGTCCTTACCGGTGCCTCTCAAAGTCTGCCCAGTGTGATTCGATTCGCAGGCCTGACGCGCACCCTGACGATCCCGTTTCCCTTCCGTCTCCCTGGCTCTCATACCCAACATCACCCCACTGCCTCTCTGCAGCCCTGCTCTCCAGCTCCTGCCCGACGTCCTCTCGACCCGAACTCATGCCCCTGCAGCCCATCCCTCAGTTTCCCAGCCTCCGCTCCCCTTGTCTGGATCCACTGTCCCCTCTCCTCTAGTACTTTCCACCTCCAGCGGAGATCTTCCAGGTTTACCTGTTTCTCAGGTTTTCTCTGCACCGATCACCCTCATCTGCATAATAAAGGTCAGGATACCATTACAAAGTCGGGGGGTGCGGGGAGGGATGAACCCATTAACTATGAAAGATTGGACAGTTTTCAGCTGAAGAAGCGAAGACCATGAGCACTTTTAATGTCTTTTCTTCTGTCTCTGCCATCCAAATAATCACATGCCACAGTACCTAATTTCAAACTGTGACAAGAATCTGGAAAGCAGGTAGAGGACGCACTGGCGGACTTATGGATTAAGATCTAAGGAATGAACGAGTTCAGCAGGTGAGACGGTGCTCTGAAAAGGAGGCACGTCATTGGACAAGATAAGCCTGGGGAAGAGTGTTCAGAACGAGGGAGCAGGACGCGGGATGAGGCCAAGGGCTACGTGCAGGTAATCCCCAAGCAGTGGCCAGCACAGGAGCAGCACCGACGACCCAACAGGAGAGTCTGGCCCAAAAGGTCTGCACTGTTCCCTTGGGACTCAGGCAGACAAAGGAGAGTACTTTTAATAGTGTTGCTAAGTCCCAGGCTTGGAAGAAAGAAATCGCTTTTTGAATACTCTGTGCCTGGGTTGTCACCCTATAGCCATCTGAGTTATGTAAGTGCTCCGAGAAGAAAGAAATGAAAAGTGCCTTCGGCTCAGCGTCTCTTGGCTGAACTTGTTAGTCATCTTTCTGTGATACGCTAAGTCAGAGGAGGAATCGCTGCCAAGATCATTTTGCTGTTATGATTAGTTCAGGTTTCTAATCTTTCACTGCACTGCTTTTGGAGAGAAATTTAATGCTAATAGGGGATAAAAAGTTAACTTGTTTATTTGCTGAAGCGTACAGGGGGCAAAAAAAACCTGGTTTATTTGCCCAAGTGTTTACAGATATGGACGGGTTTAAATCTATCATCTTGCAGTTTGTTTTGTAGTTGACTTACCTATTCTTTGTTCCTTTTTAAAAAAATATTTTTCTACTTTTTTTGGGGTTGAGTGTTTTTATGGTTCCATTTTATTTCTTTTGGTAGCTTGTTAAGGTTATTTCCTTTTGTTGCTTTAGGGTTTACAGTGTATGTCTGTTGCAGTCAACTTTTAAGAAATAATGTACCACTTCAGAGTATAAAAACCTTACAATAGGACACTTCCTTTTCCCACATCTATGTGTGCTATTGTCATACATGTTACTTCTACCTACATTATAAGCCCTATAATACATCATATACATTGCAATATTTTCTTGTTAAGCAACTGATTATCTTTTAGACAGATTTTCAAAATAAGGAAAAAATGCTCTTTTCTACTTACCTATGTACTGTTTCTATAGCTCTTCAGTCCTTTAAGTAGCTCCAGATTTCCTTCGATCCACTGTCTTGTGGCTTGCATTGCTTTCTATAAGAAATCTGTGAGCATTCTTCCTTTTGTTTCCCCTCTGCACAGATTGTGATGTTTCCCCTCTGACTGCTTTAAGATGTTTTTCATTATCATTAATTTTAAATACTTTGATTATGATATGCCTTGGTATAGTTTTCGTGTTCCTTATTCTTAGAGTTTGTTGAATTTCTTAGATTTATAGATTCATAGTTTTCATGAAATTTGGAAAACTTCTGGTCAATATTTTAAAATATTCTTTCTGCCCTTCTCTTTCAGGGACTCTCAGTAATGTATTTCATCACTCAAAGTTTTCCAGAAGCTCACCGATGATCTACTAATTTTTTCCTTACACTCTTGCTTTGGTCAGTATTCAACTGAAGATTTCAGGAGGAGCATCTGCAGTTCTCTAGACTTTTCTTTCTGTGTTAGTTTTCTCTTATCTGCTGTTCTGCTGGGGAAGTCCTGGGCATCTTGGTCTCCCTGGACTCTCAACTCCCTCCCCACTACTCAGTAAGAGAGGCAGGCCCTTCCTGGGGCCCCCTCTTCCTTCACCTAGAACTCTCTCTGTGTGCTAAGTGGGAACAGTTGTCCAGATCATTTTCTTTGTTTTCCACTTCTCAGGATGACTGTCCTGAGCTGCCTGATGTCCAATGTCTGAAAACCATTGTTTCATACATTTTTTCCAGTTTTTCCTTTTTTTTTCAGGTAAGAGGATAGATAAATCTGGTCCCTGTTCCATGTTATATGCTGAAAGCTGAAGTTTTAAACTATGTGAAACTGGTGATTCTCAAACCTCTGTAGGCAAGCATTAACTGGTAGGCTTATTAAAACACAGGGCATAGTGGTAAAGAACCTGTATGCCAATGTAGGAGACAAAAGAGACAGGGGTTTGATCCCTGGGTTGGGAAGATCCCCTGGAGAAGAAAATGGCAACCCACTCTGGTATTCTTGCCTGGGTAATCTCATGGATAGAGGAGCCTAGTGGGCTACAGTCTATGGGTTCATAAAGAGTCAGACACGACTGAGCACACACATTTGTCATTCATCATTTGAGTTGTTAATAGGTGCTGTGTGAAAGATGTTTATAGTCGAATCAGGTTAGGGACCTATAACATGTTAATGTATTTTATGAATCTTCCAAGGGAAAGATAAGAATAAGAAGTGTTTTCCAAACTGATTTGACCACAGAGACATTTATTTTGCAAAACATCTATTAGTAACTTGAGAAACTTTATTGCTCCTTGGAAGCTAGTTTGGGAAATGCTGGAGCAGACCCTTGGCTTTTGTAAGTTTATTATTAATGTTAGCTATTTGTCAGAAGATATTTCATTGCTGTAATAATTTGTGGTTCTGCTGGAGTGAGTTTCCATTCCCAGGAAGTGAGTCACTCAGCTAATGAATGAACCCAACCACTGCCCATAATCCATACCCTAATTTGCTTTGCTCCTCATCACTCAGTAGCTTTTGTAGTAATAAAAATTTGTTTGCTTTGTGAAAATGACCCTGAGAAAAAAAGTCAGCTATTGGTTTTGGTGGAAGAGGGAAAAAAAAGGATTTGGTAGTGTTGGAAGTTATATTAAAAAGGGCATCTTAGCAATGAAATAGAAGTTTGGGGATAAACTTTAAAGGCCATCTCCTAAATTTGTCAGGGACTTGGCTCTGTATGCAAATAAGTTCAACCGGTAACCTACTGGGAAACCAACAAGAATGATTCATGAATTGCTTTAGTGAGAGACAAAACCTAGCAAGATAAGACACAAGCAATTGCTGACTGAAGTGTAATTCAAGAGAAAGCCAAAAAGCCTGGGCTGGTGTTTCTGTGAAGCCGCAGGAGGTGAAGGCACTCATACATAATGAAGTTGGCTTCTAGATTCTAAAGAGAAATTTTTTTTGGTACATTATACTGTCAATAAGGGAGATGTGACCTTAGCTGACTATATCTCAAGGAAATGGAATATGCTGAAGACCTTACAGAAGCCTGAGAAATAAATTTCATGCCTCAGGACATAAAGAAAGTTGTAGAGGGAAAAAAATGCTGCTAATCACAATGGTTCTTTTATAAGAACTTAAATTCAAGTTCCTCTTACCCCTTTCATACGCTACTTAGGGCTTTTCTCCATTAACTTAACCAATGTTACCAGTATTTATTAAGCACCAGGTGGTATGATAGTTATAGGAGTTTGAAGTGTAAAGAAACCAGTGCCCTGCCTGCAGGGACCTCAAGGGTGAGGGACGTTTGAATTACTGCAGACTGACTGATCCACCACAGTTGTGTTCCCACAGGGTCCCTCACTAAAATGTCAACAGATATTTGATCTGTCACTGTATTTGTGGAATATACTTTAATTGATTAAATGAACATGCCTTACAACAAAGCTTGAAAACAACTTAGGTATTTAAATATAGAGAATTGAGTCAAGCAAAGAGTTAACACAATGAAATACTAGGCAGTAATAAAAATAAGAAATAGTGTCAGAGGGGAAAAACAAATAGGATAGAGTTATTAAAGTATCCTGAACTTTGCCTTGTCTAGGTTTATGCTCCAGCTCTTCCCTGCCCACATCTGTAGATGCCCTACCTCTTTAAGGCTCAGCTGAAGCACCACATCCCCTCTCATCCCTCCACCCTCAGAATTAGCCTCCTAGAAGATGCTGGCGATCCTTACCCACACACCTAGTGTTTTACCTTCAGTGCTGACAAGTGGATTTCCAACTGCAAGTAGCAGTGTGTCTTTGGTTGAGAAACCTTCTCCAAACCTGGCAAACGCTGCTGCGTCCACTTGCTTAGCGGGCTAGAATGCCGGAGAAGTAACTGTTCCCCATCTGGGCCCCTGTGTTCCTGTATTGTGATGTGTCTCACATTATGCTCTTTACTGTGAGGTTTTGTGACTGTCTTGGCTCTTGTAACCTGCAAAACTATTTGAGAACAGACACCTTTAAATACTGTATCTCCCAGAGGCTAACAAAGTATCTTGCATACAGAAAGTGTTTTTAAAAAACAAGATTAACTACATTAATCAAATTGAGTATTTTTAGAAGACAAGCACTGTAGATATCTAACACCTAAATAGTTCACAGCATTCTCTGTGGTATTTAATCAATGAAACTATTTAAGCAAGTTTTTATGAATCACAGTTATTGATTTTAAAATCTTACAATAAAAGTCTTATAAGTATTGTTTCAAGTTCAAAGTTGGGCTTCGAGTTTTATATCTAGTATATTTTAACATTTCCTGATTGAAAAAACTCAGCATCCATTGAGGGAAATAGAGGGGTTAAGATCTGAATTGAGTCTGTATTTTTTTTTTTTTTTTGCTATTCCATACGGCTTGTGGGGTCTTAATTCCCTGACCAGGAATCTAGCCCTGAACTCCCTGCAGTGGAAGCTTGGAGTCCTAACCACTGGACCACCAGGAAATTCTCTGTATTGCTTAACACAGCATTCAGAAACCCACATGGTCCAACCCCCACTGTCTTTCTCAATTTTATCTTCCATACTCTGGCCACCATTCCTATATATACAGCTGTGGGATCTTCATGCAAAAGATTTGTAGTTCATATTTATCTTTCTTGTTAACAACACTGTGTCATTGTTAATACACAGATAACAACAATGCAGTGTTCTACAACAATGCAGTGTTCTTATAAAGTGATATGTTCTTATGAAGACATCACTTCATAAGAAAAACTATCATTTGAAAAATGGCAATGACAGTGTGATATGAGGACAAAAAAAAACTCCACATGATAATCCTTCTTGAGATCCCACTTTTGCTTCCCTATCATTATTATATTGTCTTTGAGTCTTTATTAACAAATGTTCAAGTATCTAGGAATTTGATAACATGACCTAAATTTGAATAATGATTTACATGTCTTTCAAAGTTATTTCCCAGGTCTAATTCAGTGGCCAGTATCCTAAAGACCCATATCTACAGGACACAAAAAGGATACCACCTCTATGTCACATATAATCACAAGAACATAAACAGTAAGAATCATTCTTTTAAGAAAAAACACAAGATATACTCATCCTTGGTAGAAATATCAGGCAATATAGAGAAATGAAAAGGCAGTAAAAACATAGTTATATTTTTGATCAAGGCAAAATACTACTAAAATTTTAGTGCATACCACTCCCAACTTTTTTGGTATGATATTTTTAACATAGATATTTAAAGGGCTCATGGTGTATGCATGTTTTTTTCTCCTCTTTTTGCACTCAGTCATGTAACACGCCGAGCCAGGCACCACACACAGGCTCACTTGACACCCACTCAAGTTCTAACACAGCTTTCCATGCTCCAGAGACTAGTAGTAGTAGTAGTGTTAGTCACTCAGTCGTGTCAGACTATTTGTGACCCCATGGACTGTAGCCCACCAGGCTCCTCTGTCCATGGGATTCTCCAGGCAAGAATACTGGAGTGGGTAGCCATTCCCTTCTCCAGAGGATCCCTACCCAAGGATCAAACCCGGGTTTCCCACATTGCAGGCAGATTCTTTACCACTGTACCACCTGAGAAGCCCAAAGGCTAGAAAGCCAAACATTTCCAAGACTCCCTTGCAGCCTGGCTTCCACAAATAATTGAGTTTCCACCAAGCCCAGATGGAAGATACATTCCCTGAGCCAGATTTGGAAGGCAAGTGAGTGACATGAAGTGATGATCATGATCAGGGATGGCAGATCTACTGGTAACCGAGACAGAATGCTTACTCTCAGTCTCTAGGATAATAGCCATTGAGAGGTGAGCATGGGCAGACATGGCGTCTCCTTTCACACTGCGCTGTACTGGGCTCAGCTATTGTTCTGGGCTCTATAGCAACACTTGCATCCCTGCTCCTCTCAGAAATTCTGCGGTCAGCAACTAAGAACCCTAATGAATACCTGTGAACGCCTTTTCATGTCAAAAAATACAAGTCAAGAAATATTATATAATTGCCACTAGTAGAATCAGAGAATTCTAGAGCTCAGTGGGAACCAAGCAATCAATTAGACTTAGGAAAATATGCTCAAAGAAGTTAAATAACTCACCCGTTTCCCCAGATGGAGACTGGTGAAGGCAAGACCACATGTAAATCTCCTTATCCCCACTCCATATAAGGAATTTACTCCATGCTTGCGTCCCAGTGAGAAGATGGACAAAAATGGCAGTGCTCCAAGTTAAACTTCAGTGTTTCGTGTTGCATAACACACTCATCCATCATCTGGGAGACTTTAGCCCAAGAAAAGCCACAGTGTGATGTCTTTTTAATGTGTTGCCTCTTCTTTCCATCCACCTCCATCCCCCAGAACAGGTCCATCCCAGAGCTGCTCCCCTGGGTGAAGACCTGCTGACTTAGTCAGGGTGCCATGACCAAACACTGTAGCCTTCACTCCAGTTGGCTATGGGGTGGAGCATCTCCTCAGGCTACAGAAGTTTCTGTTTGGTTTGTATGAATGAAGACTTGCTCCCAGGGAGCTAGCAGTCTGTAATGCTCTCAAAGAGGGATACTTCTTTTCGCTCTTCTCTTATGACAGCAAAGATTCACTGTCAAAAGGCTTCGGATCCAGACTGGATCTGAATCCCAGCTCTGCCACTTACTAGCTATGTGACTGTGGGAAAAGTTATTCAATTTCCACAAGTCTCTCACTTTACTTCATTGTAAAATGGAAAGAAAGATAATGGCTTTTACAAGGCTGTTCTTTGGACCAGAAGACATATTTCTGTAATGTTTGACATATAAGGGACATTTTCAGGTGGCTCAGTGGTAAAGAATCCACCTGCCAATGCAGGAGACATGAGTTCAATCCCTGGGTTGGGAAGATCCCCTGGAGGAGGAAATGGCAAACCACTCCAGTATTCTTGCCTGAAAAACCCCAGGGACATAGGAGCCTGGCAGGGTCACAAAGAGTTGGACACAAATGAGTGACTGAGCACACACAATAAATAGTTATTTTTATTGGGTTGCAATATATGCTGTTAACCTGAAGAGCAGCCAATGGAGTATACATTGGCCCTTCCCCATTTATGATTTTATAGCTGAATTTGAGCAGGAGAGTAAGATCACTCCAGGGTAGCCCACTGCCATTTTACAAAGGGTTTAGACAGTTTCTTGAGTCCATATAAACATACATATCTGAGCTCATACCCAGCCATTAACAGGTCACAGGAGTTTGTTTCCGCTACAGCCCTACAAGTCTTCCACTAAGTGAACATAGGGACAGATAAATCAAAGCTTGGGTCTTTGAACATACGACATTATTTAAGAATTAGGAATGGAAATTAGGTATTCCCACAATCTCTGGAATGGCGTGAGTCAATAATATTTAAAGTAAAAGCTAAGTCAGCATTCCCTATAGACATATAAATATAGAATTTATAGGAGTTGGGGTGTTTTTAGGTATTAACCTTTTTTCTATAGCTCGACATTTTTCTTATGAGGTGAGAGCTGCAGGACATGACAGTTTTTATTTTGTTTTGCAAGAAAAGGTTCATTTTACAAATGACGTTTAATCCTACATGTGAAGAAGATTACACAAAAGTCCTGGCAGGCATATGCCGTAAGTAAGTAATTAAGTGCTGGTCAATTATAGCGTTGTGCATTGTTTCCAAAATCAGGTTAACTTTCCTTACATCATTTCCCAGAGAAGCATTACATATATACATATATATATATATATATATATATATATATATATATATAATGTTTTGAAGTATATATGTATCACAGTGTACACTTTAAGCATATACAGTTTTGTCAATTATACATCAAGAAAGGAGGACTGCAGGGAGATCAAATCAGTCAATCCAAAAGAAAATCAACCCTGAATGTTCATTAGAAGGACTGATACTGAAGCTGAAGTTTCAGTACTTGGGTCACTTGATGTGATGTGTTGACTCATTGAAAAAGACCCTGATGCTAGGAAAGATTGAGGGCAGGAGGAGAAAGGGGTGACAGAGGATGAGATGGTTGGGTGGCATCATCAGCTCAATGGATATGAGTTTGAGCAAACTCCAGGAGATAGGGAAGCACAGGGAAGCCTGGTGTGCTGCAGTCCATGGGGTTGCAAAGAGTTGGACATGACTTAGCAACTGAACAACAACAAAGCTAAACAGTTTCTTAGAAGAATGAGCTAGCTTTATACGCCACAGATAAAAACTATCAGATGGATACCACCTCAACTCTCTTTCTTCCCTGCATTGTCCCTTCTCCCAACAAAACCTGCCAGTAGGTCAAGGTTTACCTCCATTCCACNGACTGATGCTGAAGCTGTAACTCCAATACTTTGTCCACCTCATGAGAAGAGTTGACTCATTGGAAAAGACCCTGATGCTGGGAGGGATTGGGGGCAGGAGGAGAAGGGGACAACAGAGGATGAGATGGCTGGATGGCATCACCGACTCAATGGGCATGAGTTTGAGTAAGCTTCGGGAGTTTGTGATGGACAAGGAGGCCTGGCGTGCTGCAATTCATGGGGTCGCAAAGAGTCGGACATGACTGAGCAACTGAACTGAACTGAACTGAATGAAAAATCAAAGAATTTGTGGACATGGTTTTAAATCACCACAATCAGTTGAGAGTCCTAACTGCAAGTTACAGAAACCCCACCTCAAAATGAAATAAACATCAATGAGAATTCATTTGTTCTCCAAATGAAAAGACCCTGCAAGTAGACAAACTTTGTGCATCATTTGTTCAGAGCTCTGGCTCTATTTCTCTGATTCGCTGTGTGTTGAATCATCCTCAGGCTGGTTTCCTACCAGCAAAATATGACTGTAGAAACTCTGGGCCCCATGTATGTGCATAGAGCTTTCCAGACTGAAGAGCACGGCACCCTCTCAACATCCCAACAGAGTTCAGAGACTCCCTCTGCTGGGACGGGCTTAGGTCACCGTGACTCACCATGCAAACCAGGGGTTGGAAGGCCTAGATTGGCTCAGAGCACCCCAAGTGAGGGCTGTGGTGGCTGTTCCCTGAAAGCACACGGACCTCCAAACAGAAACCTGGGCCTCTGGGAAAAGGGGAACGGATGCTAGTGAGACAGCCACCAAAACCTACTACAAAACTCAGGGAAGTTTCTGCCAACTTTTAAAAATATGGGGTAGAGAGCATTTTTGTAATTATTGATAGAAAGGGAAGGAAGCAGGAGAAATAGAGAAATTGAAGCACAAAGTAATATAAGCATGCCAAAGAATGAAAAGCACAGGCA